GGTGGATGGATGAAAAACCCGAGGTAACATGGGGTTAGCTCATTAAACAATAAAGCCACATGCAGTTTGCATCAAGCTTTTTGACTCAGCCTGGTGATTGGGGTGGCCACGGTCCTGGGCTAAGATCCTGGAAGCCTGAGCTTTCCGAAGGTCTTACACTACTATGCCCAGAACAAGTGGAATTGTTAAATGTACCAAATTCGATGTGACTATCACAGTGATCTGATAGTCACCATTGTCCTCCAAAGAGAGGCCTTTCCCAAAAAGCCCTCAAAATGGAGAGATGGCTTAGAGATTAAGAGCACTGGTCCTGAGTTCAATTCCTAGCAACAACATGACAATTTACAACCATCTATAATAAGAACTGATGCCCTCTTCTGGAATGTAGATATGCATGCTGACAGAATACTATATACATAAATAAATCTTAAAAACAAAGCCCCCAAACTAAAATCAGTTGTTAAATATCTTTAACCACAATGTTCCCATGAGTTAAAAATTCTGAATTACCTTATTACTATTTTAACATCTAATTGATGCATTGTAACTTTTAAATGTTGGTTATTATTATTGTTAGCTTTTTGAGATAGGTTCTTCCTATGTAACCTGGCTGGTCTGCAATTCACTTTGCAAAGCAGTCTACCTCAAACTGACAGGTGGGTGCAGTCACCTGTCTTTGTCTCCACATTATAGGTGTCACCACACCTGGCTGACAATGTTGGTGATCAGTAGAGTTTTAAAAGTTGGTTACATGTCACCAGGCATTGGTGTGCACACCTTTAATCCCAGCACTCAGGAGGCAGAGGCAGGAGGATCTCTGTGAGTTTGAGGCTGGCCTGGTCTACAGAGTGAGTCCCAGGATAGGCTCCAAAGCTACACAGAGAAACTCTGTCTCCAAAAACAAAACAAAACAAAAATTGGTTATATATCATATGTGAACCTTGTGTATTTCTATAAGGAGACAAGGTGACACCATGCCACCTATCCTTTAAAAAATATTTTATTTATTTTTATTTTATGTGCATTGGTGTTTTGTCAGCATGTATGTCTATATGAGGGTGTCCCATCCCTGGAGGTGCAGTTACAAGACAGTTGTGAGCTGCCATGTGGGTGTTGGAAATTGAGCCTGGGTCCTTTAACCACTGAACCAGCTCTCCAGAACCTTTTTGTTTTTTTTGTTTTGTTTTTTTTGAGACAGGGTCTTACTATGTACCTCTGGCTGTCTTGGAACTTGTGCTATAGACCAGGCTGGTCTCAAAGTCATAAAGATCCCTGCCAAGTACTGGGATTAAGTGTGTACACCACCACTGCCCAGCTTACTTTTATTTTATAAAACCTGGGTAGCAGTATTCAAAAATATAAATAGATGGTAAGTGGAAGGAATTGCTTTGTTATGCCACTCATTTATTTAAAAACTTTCCAAATTACATTCTATACATCACTTGATGGTTTTAGTTTCAATGACTAATCAATGACAATTTGAATAGACTCTTCAGTTCAACAGAAAAAAAAATTGCTTTCAAAAGAGTTTATTAGTAAAAATCAGTCAGCTCCTCACTACCAATTTCATTATTTTGGATTATCTCCTTAGTTCCTTGTAGGTTTTACACTCCACTCTCAGCATCTATGGGGGTTTGCCTCTGGGACCAACCACTCTCTCATTCCAGAGTACATGTGTGCTCATGACCCTTACATATGATGGCAATGAATTTACATATAACTTGTATTTAGACCTTTGCATAAACCATCTATAGATTGCCTGTAACACCTAATACAATGTAAATACTATGTAAATAGTTGTCATACTCGACCTAGAGAATAACATCCAGAAACTGCCTATACATATTCAGAATAGAGTTTACTTTTTCCTGCATATCTTTGATTCATGTTTTGGGTGAATCCGCAGATGCAGAACCCAAGGGTACAGAAGCTCACTGTATGTTGTTTCTCCCATTCAGATGCCTTTCCTTTCTAAGTGGGTGAGCCACTGCTGTGAAAGAGGAGATCGGGAAAACAGAGCAAGGAAAACCACCAGGCTGGGTTTTAGGAAAATAAGATTTAGGAGGGAGTACATATGACAAGTTAAACATCTGGAATTCCAGTAACAGTAGAGCATCGTTTCTCACTGCCCATGTTCCTACTCAGAACTGCTGGCGCTGGTGCCCCTGAGGTGCGCAGAAGAACATTTCTGAAGCACACTGCTGTGCTTCTCCGGGCCTGGGAACAGTTGCTTTGGAAATTGGTATGTTTAAAGTGTATGTATCTTTAATTTATTTTTGTTTTATGTGTATGGGTCTTTTGCTTGAATATGTGCCACCTGTGCCCATGGAGGCCAGAAGAGGGCACTGGATACCCTGGTCTGGAGTTACAGATGGTTGTGAGCTGCCATGACATTGCAGCATGGGTGCTGGGGATTGAATGCAGATACTTCAGAAGAGCAATGAGCCCTCTGAATGGCTGAGCCATCTCACCAGCACCCATATCTTTACTTTTTGAGCAATTCTGTCACTACTTTATTTAGATAACTCGTGACTGGTGAGGAAACAGCCCTCCAGAGTTCTGTGAGCCATTTAATTTATGTCTGTAATTTGGTTTGTGACAATCTCTGTAAGTATTTCTATTCGTGAGTTCCACATTTCTTTTTTTTAAGTTGTCCTCTACATAAGGAGCAGAGATGGCACTATAATTCACTTACACCCTGTGCCCTGAAGCTCAAATGCTTTAAAGTCCTTCTTTGTCCTTGTAAACTGGAAAGCAAATAGATGTTTGGAACAAAAAAGGTTATTAGACATACTCTGCAGTGGTGGCGGCTCACACTTTTAATCCAGCACTGGGGAAGCAGAGGCAGGTGGATCTCTGTGACCTCGAGGCCAGCCTGGTCTATAGAGTGAGTTCTAGGACAGCCAGGGCTACATAGGGAAGCCCTGTCTTGAAGAAAAGAAAGAAAAAAAGCATTCTGCAGTCTTGGAGAACTAGCATCAAGATTTTTTCACCTAATTTATGATATAGACTCCAGCCGAGGATGCTGTCAGAGGAGATTGGTGTTAGAGAAAAAAAGGGGAGGATTCCCCCACAAATTTCTGGATATAGTTGAAAAGTACATTTCTAAAGTAACATGTAAAATAAATGTATGTAATTTTTTCAAAATTAATATAATGGCTTTTGTAAGGGAAGAGAGTTTAATTTAGACAAAGTTCTAAATTAAAGAAAAAAAAAAGACAGACAGTTTAACTGGAAGTAGTGGTCTATACCTGTAATCCAGGCACATAAGAAGGAGGACTATGAAACCAAAGGCAGCCTGGGCTACATGTCAGGACCCCATCACAGGGCTGAAGAGATGGCTCAGTGGATAAGAGCACTCCTTCTTGCAGAAGACCCAGGTTCAATTCCCAACACCTACATGGTAGCTCACAACCATTCATGACAATGTAGTATCTATCTATCTGTCTGTCTGTCTGTCTGTGTGTGTGTGTGTAAAATAATCATTTACAAAAAATAAATCTGAAAAAGATTTAAAGACTGTGTTACAAAAGGATAATGAACTTAGAAATTTTAATGTGCCAAGTTCAAATTATAGGAAAAGTTGACCAGTTAATAGTTGTTGATCAGTTCATGCTCAATATTGTAAAATGCTCAGGATTTGAAATGCAGACAGTCTTGTATCTTACAATCAACAAGGTCACAAGAACACATTAATGATATACAATTAAGTGGCCAAGATTCACAAAAGAAAACTGTCTTTTTATTGTCTTTAGAAAAGACAGGTTGGATCTGACAACATTAGGCTTTTCTGTAGTGTTCTTTCTGATGTTCTTAGCAGACACAGAAACTGAAGTTACTGTGGGAGTACCTTGCAAACTTATTTTTTAGATTCTGACACATTGTTTTAATAAAAAACAAAACAAGAAGCACCCTAGCTGGAAAAGGTCTATAGCTGCTTTGGGCTGTTATTTAGTGTAACCACAGAACTAAATGTGGTCTATGACTAGGTGCCAAAATCAGATTAAAAAAATTAAAGATACCAGCACTTGGGAGGCAGAGGTAGGCAGATCTCTGTGAGTTAGAGACCAACCTGGCTTACATAAGCAAGTTTCAGGACAGCCAGGACTACATAGAGAAACCCTGTCTCAACACAAACAAACAAAAAAGGTATTCCATTCATATGACAGGAAAACCAAAGGGCACCAAACAATATCATAATGGCATCTTGAAATAGAAGAATAAAGAAGAGAAAAATGGAGGGATAGATAGGCAAGAGAGGACATGAGTTAGGAAAGTGCAGTTGTAGATGAAAAAAGAAGACAGATAAAAGGTACAACAGCAATTTCTTCTAGCCTTCTTTCTTGCAAATTTTCTTTATGTGTGTACTGATTTTCGTTGTTGTTCATTTTTTGAGATAAGGTGTCACTATGTAGTCCTGGTTCTGTCCTAGAACACACTATGTAGACCAGGCTGGCCTGGATCTCTGAGATCCACCTGATATTTAAATACACTAGAAGAGAAAGGGATGTAAAGAACAAAAGTGGAAAAAAAGAGATTCATTTCTAAGGGGGAGGAATGGTGAGCCACTGAAAACTTTTACCCACAGCATGTAATACTTAAATAAACACTTTAGTATTATGAGACTTAGGTTTGGGGGTGGGAATAAAAATGTTACAGTCATAAATATTCATGGAAGAAGGGATAGGAAAGTAGGCCACTACTGTCTTACCCCATCACAAGCGTTCCCTGAAAGCTGCAATTAAACTCTCTCCCCTGACCTGCCTGGGACTGTGTTCAATGCTCATTGTCTCCTTCAGCAGGTGGCAGCGTTCCCTTTGTTGTTTGGTGAAGTTTGGTGTTTTCTTCCTAAGAAAGACCTCTTAGTGACCTTTTCTTTCCTTTCTTTTCTCTTTTCAGTCCTCACTGATGTGTGCCTTCTTCATACATCTTGGAAATACTTTTCCAATCATTCTTTACAATATGTGGCAATTCAGGCTTTCATTTAATTCTTTTCTTTCTTTTTTTTTTTTTTTTTTTGGTTTTTCGAGACAGAGTTTCTCTGTGTTGCCCTGGCCTGGCTGTCTGGGACCTTGCCCTGTAGATCAGGCTGACCTCGAACTTACAGAGATCTGCCTTCCTCTGCCTCCCGAGTGCTGTGATTAAAGGTGTGAGCCATCACTGCCCAGCTCACGTTTGAATTTTTTTAAGGCTCATCCTTGGAACTAAGTTCAGGAAACAGAGGGCAGACAATGAACACCAATCACATCTTATCCCCTTAGTCTGTGTCCAACTCTAGGGCTAGAAATATTATGAAAAGTCATCTCTAGTCTAATTTCCCTCTGGTACCTTGTTCAGGTTCAATAAAAGCTAGGATTTTGCCCCATTTTTGTTTAACTAAAGAAATTTCCCAGGCTCCTAAGCATCTGTAATGTTTTGTAAATCATTGTTCCTAGTTTCTTTGCATGTACAATGTACAATGAGGTTGGTGAATGAGAAGGTCTTTGAGATTTCTTCTCAATCTTCTATCCTATCACAGAGAAGTCTGCTACGTTGTAGGGTGGAAGAAGACTTTGGTGCTGTAGAAATATAATTATTTCTAGAGGAAAAGAATGTTTTGAGCAGAACATTGCTAAGTAGTACAAAAACTGAAAAATAGACCTAGTTGAAGCAGTTGATACAGGAAGAGAGGGTACTTGGATCAAGACAGAGCTCATATAGCACACAGCATCCCTATAGTACACAGTATCTCTATAGCCCACAGCACCCCTGTAGCACATAGCACCCCTGTAGCACACAGCATTTCTAGATATCATTTATGGCAGATACTGAGCAGACCTTTAGGCTTCAATATTGGAAATTTCTTAGCGAGCTCACTTATTTGAGAATGAAATTAGACATGAACTTCCTCTCTGGTTATTTGATATTCTTTTGATAATAAACATTTATTTTTAGCTTTAATTCTATTGGGTAAAATCACTATTTTGTCTTATGAAAACAAAAATGATCAGTGTAAAGAACACCTTTAATTCCACTACTGTGGAGGTAGAGGCAAGCAGATCTGTTAGTTTGAGGCCAGCCTGGTCTACAGAGCCAGTTGCAGGACAGCGGGGGCTATACAGAGAAAACCTGTCTTGATAAAAACAAAACAAAGAACCCAAAAAACCCATTCAACACACAAACAACACACGAAGAGATGTCAATCTCTCTCTGAAATGCTTTCCCTTTCTTTTTAGACTTTTGTTTATTCTCTCAGATATTTTCTGTAGATTTAGATTAGCATATTTATCTACATATGTATAAGTTTTCAATTGACTTTTTTTTTTTTTTTTTTTTTGGTTTTGGGTTTTTCAAGACAGGGTTTCCCTGTGTAGCCTGGGCTGTCCTGGAACTCACTCTTAGTAAATGCATGTAACCTTTCTGGAGGTGGAGGTAGGGGATATCAAAAATGAAAGATCACTGTCAGTTACAGTGAGTTCAAGACCAGCCTGGGATAAATAAGAGCCAGTCTCCAAAACAAACATCATTTTTTCTAGAAAATTTAGGGGCCTGGGAGTATCTCTTTAGTTATCAAGTGTCTCAGTGTGAGAAATGGCTTCAGGGGCCAACTATACAATATGCCCATGAAATAAAGATCCAGATGGCTGCAAAATGAGAAACTGCACCCATGCTCTTCATGATGGCTAAGTTATAGGCTCAGCTTTGGAGTAACCTCATGAAGACAGTGAAACTCTTCGTCATTTTAGTTACTCCAGTTGAGTTCCTGGATACACAGGTTGAAATTTCCTTAGACATTCCAGATCCAGCCAAACTCACAGCTGAGTAGACCATATCTGTCCCTTGATCTTAACAGTGGGGAAAAGAATTGCCCAGCCACACCCTTCCTCAAGAATTGTGGGAAAACAAAGATGGTCGTTTCAAGTCACTGGTTTTTTACTGTGATTTGTTGTGAAGCAATAGATAATTGAATCAGTTATCAAGCATCATAGTTGTTAACTTGACTTTGTGGGCTGTGAGGAGGTTGCAATAGTTTCAGTCCAAGGATTCATATTCCCAAAGCTGACTCATCCTACTGAATGTGGACCCTGCTGGCCAGTATCTGTCTTATTCAAAAAGCTTAAGACAGGAGGAGCACATAAAAGTCCCAAGTGTTTGTTGACTGAATCATTACAAGGACGGAGATAAGACTCCCCAGTCATCATGAAGATGATTTAAGCAGGTTTTGTCTGTTTTCTCTTTCAAAAAAGGTACTCCTCCTCCGAAATAGTTGATGATCTAGAAGAAGCACTGTCAATCTTGATTCCATCTCAGCGCCACTCCTATACCTAGACATGTGGGTTACCCTGAAACATTTAGTTTCTATTATTAGAAGTGCTAAAACAGCAAGCTATGTTCCATAGAGCCACAACTGGAATTAAGACCAAAGTAGAAGATCTGACAGTCAAAATTAATGGAAATAAAGTTGTTTTGTGACACTCCCTGAGTGATAATTCCTGGGTGCCATGTGGTCTGTTCTGTGGCACCCCAGCACCCAGTACAGCCTCTGTTTGTTTGAGACTAATGATATCATACAGAATATCTCTTTCCTGAGACAGGAAAGGTGACAGAGAGCCATTTGCAAAAGCTTTGGGAAAGTTTAGAGTATGGAAAGCTTATAGATCGTAATGCAAAATTTTCTCCTAGAATACAGTATGTGTATGACTTATAGGAGGACAGGCTGAGCAAACTGTTTGTGCTTAAGAGAACAGTAAGTGGGGTGGTAAGATGGCTCAGTGGGTAAAGGTGTGTTCCATCAAACCCGGCAACCTGAGTTAGATCCCCAGAAGCTGTGGTCAAAAGAGAGAACAGACTCTTGCAAATTGTCCTCTAACATGCACCACCAATGTGCCATGACCTGTGTGTATGAGCTGGTGCATGCTTGCACAGACAATAAATAAATGTGGATTTAAAAAACTAAATAAATAATAGAATAAATAAGAGGAAAGCCTTCAGAAACCTAAAAAAGGCCAGTTTAAATTCAAAGCCAATTATATGTTACCTAAACCATTATTTTCTATTATTTAGAAAGTGCTTTTTAAGTTAAAAAAAAACAAAAAACAGACCACTTGCTTAAAAAAATTAAAGCACTAGACTTAACTCTCTTTTGGAAGGGTCAGAATGGGAAGAGGAGAAAGGCACCAGGACAATGGAGGGCTCACACACAAGATACTTTAGTGCAGAACCTCCAACAGCCATCAACTATTTCTATTATCCACATCCAGTTCTTGGTGTCCCACTTATCAAAGAAACCAGGGAAGACTTTTCTCTGAACATCTTTGGCTTGTAGTAACAATACAGTTTTGGAATCAGCTGTTGGAAACTATAATTAAAGCTGGTTTATCATACTCCCTAATTATTCTATAAAGTTAGTCTCCCTAGAGCTTTATATAATTCCTCCTTTGTTATAGGCTTCTGTTTCTCCCTGGGGTGTTTTAAATCCAGACAGGTAAGGAAATGAAGTGCTAGGCAACCAGTGTATTGTAGTATCAGGACAGCCAAGCAGATATATTTTCATTTGAACTTTAAATATTTTTTTTATTGCTATCTGGGCTTTTCCCCTACTGACCTATTCACATCCTTTGAATGGATGTGAAAAACACCAAAAAATTTACAAGTCTACATCAGTACTTCTTTCAGAAACATAGTTAATGCTGTGAGAGGAAACACCCAGCAAAACCTGATACTATTGTCAGCCTGGCCACACACCGGGCCAACATAGTTATCTATTCATTCACCACTAGAGAGAGGAACCTGGCCTTCAGGGAAGCAGTTAACTGGTTTCCGGCTTTCTTCCCTCACTTGGAAGTGTCTGTGGGCTGGTGTCAGGTTCCAGCACTTGAGTGCTGGGATGTTCATCCCCTGTGCTCTAGAGTGATGTTCTGGTAACAGAAACGGATCCTCTTTCCTCCAGCCCAGCATCAGGAAGCTTTGGAATGAGTGCCTTTCTTTTTCTTATAGAGGAAGATTTCAGAGTGTCTTAGAGATTCTTTGACTATGTCACACAAGATGGCTCCAGGGAAGAGGCAAAATAGGGTGATGCTAGTAACAGAGACTCTGGGGACAGGAAAAAATGTGGGTCATTTCCCCTCCTCAACCTACTTCTCTTGATGTAACTTCATCCTTATTTTCCTCACCAAGCGACAGTAGATATTCCACTGGGCACACCTTGGGTTTTTACCATGCATTTCATATAACACCTTGACTTTGGGGGTTATATGTAAAATAGATCTCCATCTTAGATTAGGCTGTGTGGGTTAGATTTATTTACATCTTTAGAAACCAAATGGAGGGCTTTCTATTGTTTTCAAATTGCTCTCATCCGTCTTCCCTGCCTCCCCCAACCGACCAGAACCGTGCACAAAAACAGCCTGCAATAAACATCAATGCTTGCTTAGCTTGGGCTGCTGACTCCTGCAGAGAGATCTTAAAAGGATGCATCTAAATGCAAGGTTTGAGTAGCCTCAGAGATCTCTAATAGAACTGTAAATATCCCTGGTTTAATTAGCAGTCCTGGAGTTAGGTAATGGCCCGTGGCTCTCTGAGCCAAGCCTCTTGAGGTTTCTAGGCTTCAGGAGCTGCCTGCAACTATGCTGTGCACATACGCAATTTTCTTTCTCCTATACTTCATAAACCCTCGGCTGGCCTTCCTAGACACCTACTCGCAATTACAGCAATACCCATGATAATAGATTACTAATCTCCCAATTTCTAAAATGACCCAGTGCCTCAGCTTAGGTCTCAAGTCAGATACTTTCGGACTCAAATTGTCACCCTGAGAACTAAGTCCTCTGGGAAAAGAACAAAAAGGAAGAAATCCCTGCCTTGGTGTTGATGTCATTTTTCTTCAAGCTCAAGGTGATCGCTCGCTTTGTGGCTGGCTCGTCCGGGAGGAGGGGCTTGCACTCTAGTTATCAGCATTTCTGAACCAGCTCTCTCAAGCGCGACAGGTCAGCCAATCCCGGCAGTAAGCTTTTTTACTTGACAGGTTTGTTCTGGGCGGACAGCCATTGACTAGGTGCTCAGATAAGTCACTTGGCTGAGTCTACAGTAGGTGGGGCGCGTTCACCAGTTCAGGGGCAGTGACTGGAAGTTTGTTGCAACATCGGTAAGCCCGGGCAGCCAGCAGCAACAGGAGATACCCTTTTGCCCCGCGAGTACAGATCTACAGAGGGTCCATCTCATTAGCAAACGAGATGCGTCAGATGCCCTCAGGCCCAGCCTCTTCTCCCACGGTTGAGAACGCGCGGTGTGGGCAGACCCAGAGCAGGACTCTCGGCCTTCTGGCTCGCTCCATGGGTTGCAAGCGAAAGGGAAGCGCAGGCTGGGGACTCTCCGCGTCACCGTGCACAAACCGGCGGCGGCCAGCAGAGAGGGGTGGCCGGGGCACGTGCTTGAATGTGGGTGCTTGTGTAACCAGCTCCCCAGGCGCTTGGCCCCGACAGCGCTCCTGCGGACCGCTCGTGGGTGCCGCTCTCCGCTCCGACCGGGATGAGCAGGGGTCCGGCTGCCCCCACCTGGGGTGACCACCTAGCAGAGCAGAAGGGTCCAAGCTCTTGCCTCAGGAGCACACAGATAGGGGAATGGGAATTTGGAAAGTTCCCCAACTAGGACCACACGTGACCTCCTCCTGAAAGTAGTTCCGACCGTGGCTCGTGTATCCTTCCACCTCGCCTTTGAGCCCTCCCAGGCCTGCTCGCCCCGCCCACTCGCAGGCTGCAGCTTCCGACCCTACCATACTCCCCACCCCGGCCCAGTAACCGGCTCCCGGGCCGTGCACGGTCCGAGTGGAGCAGAACCTGGCCACAGCGATCCAGTTCTGCTGGGTTTTCAAAGCGGCCACAAACGGGAGGGGATGCTTAGCCACTTCAAGACGGAGGCTGGCTGATCCGGTGGACCCACGGCTGCGGGGAGCTGCGGGACTCGCCACCCAGCCGCAGAAGGGTGCGTGTGGGGTGCACCCTCTTCACGGAGATGCACTTCGTGTCCACCCAGGGGTGTCCTCTGGGCCCCGGATACTCAGGGGAGACGTGTAGGTACACGCCCCGTATGCACAATCATCACGCTTGGCTGGGAGCGTTCACCTTTCGAGCAAAAGATCCCAGCCGCCTGGGAAGCGAGAGGTGGGGCAGGGAACCCGAGCCCGATGAGGTGACCCACGCGGGAGACACAATAGGGGGTTGTTCTTTGTGCAAAGCCTGACACCTTGAGGACACCGTGGCGGGAGAGGTGCACCATCTAGGTAAAGGCTGTCGCTGACAAATCCTAGCGAAGCACTGCAATCTGACCACGGCGCGG